AAGGAGAACCTAATCTGAGCAGAATTGAATCTAGCATTTGGATCAAGCCGCATTTGCGTGGCAGCGGCGCTGCGTCCCTCTCGCACATCTGAAACTAGCATTTTTTGATATGAAACCGGATGTGCAGAGGACAAAAAGGGGTCGTATCAGAGTCCATGTTTTGGAGGGGGGTCGTAAAGAGGCGGTTATTTCCTCGACACGATTTTCACCCTGGTGGCGGCACATGACGTCATATTCTGAAGACGGCGGGGGCAGTGAAGGAGGGCCTGCTTCTGCTTACGGGGAACACCTAAGGAATATTCTGCCGTAAAACTTTCATTAACATCGGCACCCTGTGCGACGAAAAGTTCGATGATGTGCGCCATGGGCAAAGTGTCTCTTTTTTTGGCCACCCCTGTATATGCATTGCTTCAATTCTCTTCCTTTTTTCTGCTTCTTTTTACTGTTTACTACCCACTTTTTCGTGCTTACGTTTTTCTCCACGAAAATGAGCACTAACTTTTAGTAATGACCCACAAGTGGGGACTCTTTTGTCTTCCGTTATCTCTGTTCTTAGTTGCAGCAGCAGAACAAGACGATGGTTAGTTTACTTACCTACTAGTAGTACATTTTCATGTTGATCAGCAACCAACTGTTGTCAGCGATATTCGTTTCAGAGGTCTGCCCGCCTCTTGTGGATATAGCGTTCGTTCTCGACACCTCAGGAAGTATCGAGGAAATATACAACGAGCAAATTCGCTGGACCGTCTCTCTCAGCGATGCGTTGCCGATTGCTAAGGAAGCTGTGCGATTGTCTACGATACAGTATGCTTTTCTTGTGAAATATTGTATTTCAGCATTTCTCAATTGCGAAGTGCTCATGTAATAGAAACTGTTTCTCAGATATGCTGGCTATCCACTGACCGAATTCAGTCTCGACACTTATAATGACAAAGATGACGTTGTACATCATCTTCGAGAGATGTCCTTCCAGTCAGGAGTGACCAGGACTGGATATGCGCTGAGACGCGCCGAGGACGAACTATTCAACGGCGACAGAGGGGCGAGGTGAGTGCCGGTTAAAGTATATGGAAAAAATTGTCAGTGCATACTCGGGAACAACTTTTAAAGGGAGGTGGTGCAATAAATTGGACCTCGAAAAAAGAAATATGCCTGGTGAGGGAGGCTAGGCCGCTGACACATTGAGACGTGGCCCTCCCTAATGGCAACCCAGGGCTTTACCACCACCTTTGTGGAGAGCCCTCCTCCGCTTCACGGTCTCGACCTATGTTCAGGTGGTAGAGAGCTTGCTGCTTGCGGAAGAGAGTGTCGAAACGTTGAGCGAGCCGTTCGCAGCGTTGAACTCATCTATCCTAAGGTCTCGTCGAGAAAACGGGCAAAAAAGTTCAATCCCGTAGGTTTCAGGCAATTTTATTGGTTATGCGAAGCTAAGATTTATTGGTGATTGCGAAGCGTAGTGATAAGCATTCGTTTCTTTTATATTTACGTCTGCCTATAGTGCGCTTTGAAAGAAGGGAAAGTTGATGCAGACTTCTTACTAAGAGATCTCATGCGTCGTCTTCCTAAGGAATCCCTGGTGATAGATATGTTTCGATTTTGTTGCCTTGATGACGGTTGTAATGCTTGGTTTCAGAATAGCCCAATGTTTTTGAACGCACGCTTGAAAGCAGCATACTGTACTCTCAGCTTACGTCCGGTATCATTATACGTAGTTCTTTAAAGCAACAATCCAGGAACGAATTCGCGGGTAAGGACCACCTATAATGACGTTGCAGGTGAGAAGTTGGTCAATGGAGAAAGAAAAAGTAGAAAAAAACGTCGGGCAGGGGCTTAGACAGGGACTCCCCCTGCCGTTTAGGGAGACGTGTGTTGGACGAGTTGTCCGAACCTGCCCGTAGTACATGCGCTCCAATTGACTGCTGGCAAATAGCCATGCATGCTTGCAAATACATAACTATTTGCCAGCAATCGAAATTGAAGCGCTTCAGTTGCGCTCTTATGGAATCGACCTGATACAGCGCGGCGGTCCCGCAACGACCGCTATTCGAGCAAGCGCTCTTCACAGCAGCAAGGAGGCGGGTCAACCGAGGCTCGGTTGACCCGCCCTTTTCGACGAACTTCGAGCCCTTCTCACGCATTTCAGAGGTGAGTTTTTACTTCAGTGACAGTTCCTTTCGACTTCACTTGGGCTGGGGCATGCTTCCACACCTCAGCTTTGGATTAGTTGAAACCCTCCCTGGACTGTTGCTTTAAGCATCGATTATTTCGCTACAGACTCCTTTCTTACTTGAATTCCTTAGAGCACAACTAATGAAGCCAGAAATAGTAGTTAAAAGCAAGAGTCGGGCTAAGCGTCACTGAGGAGGTCCTTTACGTGAAGCAAGGTACCAGGTCCGAAACTACAGTAATCACGCCACTTTTGCACATCTATGCGCGTCACTAATTGTAGGACGCCAGTCCCTTGAAGCTTAGGTCTTCCTACCCCCGTGCCCGCTCTTCGCTTCAACATCTTGCCTTACATCCGCACATTTAAATTTGAGTGAGACAACACTTTAACCTGACCCCTGGCCTAGCCTTTTACTTTCACAAAGTTGCATGCTTCTAGATTCTCATATCAGGAGAAACGCTAGCAGATGTCGCCTTAATTTAACGATGTGTCTTATCAATGATGATCGCTGAAACGTCTGGCAGCATTGCGACTTCAAGAGTTGGAGTTCACGATCATTTTGGTGTAACAATAATATAACTATTAATTCCCTAGTATTTCTTAAAGCATAGCTCTAGTCTGATTCGAGATCTGGCTATAGGAAGTCCCATTCAGGAGTGAAAATCTACGTGGTAAGCGTGAGTGCCGATGGATTTGGACCGGAAATGCAGCGTATCGCCGGTGAAAGCGCAAATGTCTACGGGTAAGAAACTGAAAACTCTCCCGTTCCGTGTACGCCTCAGAGTGGGTGGTTCAGAGAATTGACACGCAGAGATTACAGTTATTTGCCTTTTTAGAACTGCGCGGATAGGAAACCGTTGATTACTCGAAAGTCACGTTCACCGGGAATCCTGTTTTTTTTCAGTGGAATCTTTGAGAAGGCCTTTTGCAAAAGGGAGAGCTCTGCAAGCTGAGTAGAACAGCGGATTGGTACTTCGTGGTCTTGTAATTACATTCTGAGATAAACGGATAAAGGATAAAGCATTTGCCGTTGATCAATCCCTTTTTGGGATGCGGCACGCATTCTACTTCCATTTGTACATTCGTAGTGGCGTTTGAATGCGATGTGGCCTATACAATGACTTGCGGGGGCCAGCCGATGTACAAGTCAGTGTTTTTATCCTCCCAGACAAGTCTGGTACCAATTAACCGACCCCGGAGGGATGGAAGGCTTGGTTGGCCCGGGCGACTCACGACCCAGGATTTGATCCCGGACCGCTCGCGTGGTAAGCGTGCCACTTGCCACTACACCACTTCCGCCCATTCCTTTATGCACGCAACTATGTGATTAGAGGTGTGCGGGGGAAAGTATTAGTTATCAGGACTTTTTATACTGGTGCTGTGCCATATTAGTGATCACTTTACATTCGTTGCTATAAAAAATCCAAGAAAAATTGTAAAGGCGTAGCGCCCACTTTGTCCTACCTGATCATTTAGCATCCCATTTACACGCTGCCTTACGTGGCTATTACATCAGTTTTACTACTAGATCCTATTTTTCAGCTTCCTTCTTCATCACTCTGATTAGAATCTTTACATAGAGAATCAACCAGCAGATAGGCGAGGGCACGCTCCTCAATCCACGGTCTGCTTGTGGTTCACTCTATCGAGAGGTTGGCTTTTTTAGTTGAAGATGACCCACACTCCAACTACCCCTCAACTGGCAATCTCACTGCTGTACCCAGCGCCACTGAGAATGGATCTGGACAAACTAGTCGCTATTTGTCAGAGCATGTCCGACTTGTTAGATGATGGAATGTAGGCATCTACGTAGAGTCGTAAAGATTTTAAAATATGGAATTTGTATCTCACATGCTTTGAGCCCGAATCAGCTCCAACACGATCTGACATCGTCATGTTCCTTCTGATCTCCCTTAGTTCCTTACAGTGATCATCCAGCATATTCACCAGGGTTCTGGACTGGGTGGAAGTGTACTAGCAAATCTCCTAGGAGCAGTAGCCTAGCTTGACCGGTTAAGGAGTTCTGATAGCAAGAACCTGACCTCCTCTAAGTCCGGTGAGTATGCCAGATGATCACTGTGAGGGACTTCTGAGATGATGATGGAACGCAAACATAACCTTACACCTTGAACCACCGCCCAGTAATACTAGGGTCACTGAAGAAGATCAACATCGACAGCGTAATGGCGACGCATTCAATTTGTAAAGCAAGACAAAGTCTGCTTTTTTCCTGAGGTCGTTCGACCCCACCTTGCGGAGAATATTCATAAAAAATTGGAGACTCCCAGGCTAGCAGTTCTTTCACCTCCTCTGTGTGGCCCTATCCTCGTGCCAACAAAGACAACTCAGTCTGACCTCTAGCGCTCTTCCTCAGGAAGGAATTTAAATCTTAGTCACATGACCACACCAGGGTGAATAACGGTCGAGGAAATCCTCGACCATAGCTCTCTACCATGCGAGAGTAGTGCCGAGAGTGAACATCCGCGCGGAGAGCACAGACGGCACGCCATGGCGAGTGTGAATGTCCGCGCGAGAGATCGTGTCTGATCGGGCAGAGAATCCTCGACGTGCCGTTGAGGAATCCTCAAGCGATATTCACCCTGCCACAACCAACTTCCGATCTTTCGTCGCAAGAGCTCTTGCAATTTCAGAGGAAGACAGCGACTAAATTCCCATGTATAGGCAATACATTGTAGATGACAGAGGTGTATGTTTGGATGAGCAAGGACTTCGAATAAAAAAGAAAAAAATTGAATTCAAAATACCCAAAGTGATTCACTAATTATGGGACAACCTAATATTTTAAAGAGACATCTCAACTCAGAGGTAACACTTTTAGTCAGGAGGTAGCACTTTTGCTCAGGATAAGGACCACTGGGCATTGTTAATCTTTCTTAACGGGATTCATGCTCAACTAGTTCATGATCGTGAGAATAGCACTTCTGTAGGCGGTGAATGTCGAAGGCCGTTTCGCCGTCACTTCGATGTTTGAAGCGTCTCCCACTTAAGCACTTGTTCCGTTCATACGGCATGTGAAGCAAGATATCGTACGCTAATTTATCTTACTCGTGACCCTGCTGCTAGCTATCCATGAATGGGGATCATCTTCCGTCCGAGTTTTCAGAAGGCCATTGCCAACAGCTGAAGGATGTCGCTGACCTCCCACAACTTGGAATTCCTCAGGACCAACATATTGGGGCTATTGTTGTGCGGCTCTTTATTGAAGCTTATGTAGCCATAGCCCCACACTTCAGCGTTATTTTCTCAGGTCTGCACAGCACTACTTCGGAGTTTCAATCGTAGACGTAAAATGGCTTAATCTACACTTTTGACACTTCAATTAAGCCCACAAACAAGTCCAAGATAGCATGTCTTACACACGTTAAACAATGCTGAAGAAAAGAATTTATAGTAGGTTCGCCACTAATGTATAGCGGTGCATAGATATATCATTGAAGATTTCCTTGCTAAACTATCTAAAATCCGCTCTGAGTCTCGACACATTACTTTCCAAACAACCTAGTGTTGAAAGAAACTAGATCACACTATAACTCAGATAATGCTCCAGCAGAAACCACCGAGTTACGGGCCGCAGCAGTGTCGGCAGCATATGCTGCCGACACGCCCACTAGTCTCTGACTGGCTGGCTCGTGTCTGCACGCAGTAACCTTTGTGGTGGTAGCCAATCACGGACGAGTGGGCGTGTCGGCAGCATATGCTGCCGACACTGCTGCGGCCCGTAACTCGGTGGTTTCTGCTGGAGCATACTGAGAACGCATTTTTCAATTTATAATGTGACTACCGGTCTTGACGACTGTAGAGAGGTTGAGATTATGAGATATTGTCACAGGACATCTCATGAGATTGTTGAAGTAGAGGATCGC